GCCGAGTCTCTCCCAAAATCTCTAAAAATAAATGAATACTTAATGTATCTGGAAAAATCCGGATGTTACACTTTAAATGGCAAACAGCCAATGAATTCAACAAAATGACGTGGCCATTCTCCTTCAGATAAGCAAGAAGGTTGCCAATCTTCTAACTTCAAAATCTCCCTTTTGAATCCACCTTCTGAGTATCCCCTAAAGAATTTGTGAAGATCAACACTCACCTTTTTCCAATCAAAACAATCGATTGCATTCACTTCACACGTATGGGAACGATTGCTATTTTTTGTAATGTCACGAAAAGCACGCCACAAAACCATTGGCTCCCAACTTAGCCCTGAGGAAGCTGAAAGCACATCATTGACTACCATAGGCTCACCTTTTGACCAATGCAATTGGAAATGTTGCATGTCTTGTTGAGGTTGAATGTCTTTAGCACTTAGAGAGTACAAATAACATCCATTAGAATTTTCTTCATTAGCTTCAGAATCATAACAACACATGCCACATTTGGTAGAAGTTTGATGAATATCAATATCATCACTTGTGTTGATTTTGTATATCTCTTGTACTTTCTCCAACATATTTACAACCCAATCAACAGGCATTATACGTTTCAACTCAAGGATCCCCTCATTACATCCACCAATATAAATTGGTGGGCAATGAATGCTACCATCTATAGAGAACTTCCATCCAGATATCATACACATATTTCCCTCACGTAAATCTTGACAACATACAAGGCATAGATCATAACCACATGCACAACTTCTATACAAGTCAAAGATATATGCTCCACATTTGTCACTACACAAAAGGATAAGTTTTAATACCTTTATATAAATAACAGAATAACATACTTTAACAAGATTAAGTAATCATTCCATGAGAGCATGACTCCTACCAATATATATTATCATCCACCTCACACTCAGCATCCTGTATTTGTAAGTATGATAGAGATAATCCTGCCCAATGAGAGAATATTAGGAAAGCAACAAATTAAATATGGTTTTCGTTTACAGTTTTAAGTATATGAATATCTTACTTAGAAAAGGAATCAAAATAAGCTACCTTTAACCTTAGCCTCTATTAACTTCTCCCTCAGTTGGTCTGCATTCAGACTTTTCACAAAAGCAAAAACTTTTTGTATGATATTCTTTGAGTATCGAATTTTATCAGGTTTGGAGCAAGAATATCCCTGCATCACCTGCATAAACTATTAACAAACTTGTTATGAGTATGTGAAATTACACAAGTAACAAACTGACAATTGCCAAGAGTTTGCTTCAAAAAACTAACTTTAGGTGAATATCCACGCAAGCATGCTTTGCAATTGCAATTTTTGCGACAAAAAGGGCACGCCTTGACAAACTCCTCCTCCGATATATTGGGGTACCTATTTCAAGACGAACACATAATCACAAATTTGTATTCGCTAAAGAAAATGTAATTACAAGTTCAAAATTACTACCATTTAGTCATGCATGTGACGCAATATTTCTTCGATTGACATTTCTTGCACTCAACAACGCGATCTCTTTCACTCCTATGACATTGATGGCACGATTTCAGCTGCTTGTCAGCCCCATTTCCTACCTACAAGAAATCAAACTAAAATTATAGCAACTTGGGTGATGATTCTGTATGAAAACGAGCAAGAACGGTCGTAAACAACCGAAATTACGTTGATATCCGGTTTTTTTCGGCGGGGTTTCTTCTGATTGTGAGCTTTCACCTTCGCTGAAGCTGATTTCTCCGTCTTTCTCCTTTTACTTGAATTCTTAATGGGGTCAAGTTCTGGTTCCTCCATTTCAGCAGGGACCGACTTTCTTTGCAACTGCCAAGTCGATATGTGAGCCATTGTTGCTTGTGTGATCGTGGGGGAGGGCAGAAGCAGGTTACAGAAAGAGCCGCGTTAGTTTGAAAAAAGAAGCGTGTCGTATAAGATAAAGCTTTTTGAAAAAATTTCACAAAATGGTCCTTTAGGTTTACCGTTTTCCTTGAAATGATCCCTATGAATTTTTTTCTCTAAAATGGTCCTAAGAAGCAAATCTTGCACACAAATGGTCCTTACCGTGGATAGATTCGTTAAATTGAAAGAATTTTAGATAAGGATAATTTCTCTCAGGGTTTTCCTTGAAATGGTCCCTATGAATTTTTTTCTCTAAAATGGTCCTAAGAAGCCAATCTTGCATACAAATGGTCCTTACCGTGGATAGATTCATTAAGTTGAAAGAATTTTAGATAAGGATAATTTCTCTCATTTTATGAAACTTGTTTGGTGATCATTTGTGAAATTTTATAACCATTTGAAATATTACAAAGTTAGTTTTGGGGAAATGACATAAATGTCCTATAAAGTTTCTAGGTTGGTCGATTCAGTCCCTAAAATTTTTGTCGGACTTTATGGGTCCCTAAAATAGGATACGACCTGTAGGGCATTTGTATCATTTCCCCGTTAGTCTTTCACTTTTTTTCTTTTTATATTTTTTGCCCTCTTGTTTACTTTTTTTTTTAATTCAAATTTCTTTTAAAAAAATTTCTTAATTTTTCACAACTTTGTCATTATATATTTTTTTAAAGTTAGAGTCTTAGAAATTAGTTTTTACAACATTGTTTTACATGAAATCTTTTATGAAATATATTTATTTTGTAACATCCCAAAATTTCAGAAGTTCAATGAAGGGCCAAAAGTGTAAATAAAAGAAGGGACTCGACG